ATGTATGATATCAAGCCTGCACGAAATAATCGGCCCCGACTGCCAACCAGAAAAATTGTTAGCATTCCTCAAGTCATTAAAAGTAGAAAACAGCATCTAATAATAAATAGATTTAAGTGATTAATATGTAAAAACTTATAAATAAAAACATAATTGTCAAAAGCAAAATGGCCTATGTTGCCGAAGCTAAAATGTTCAATAAATAAAAAAAAAAAAAATAATGTGCATGTGTATTAAGTACATCGTTTCAATTTGTTGATCAAATTATATTATTAAATGTTCTCACAAACCTTAGAAACAATTTAAAATAAATTAGTTAACTTAACAATAACTTTTTATTCATATATTTTAAGAAAAAGAGTAACAATGTGATTCGATTTCTTATGTAATATCGGTTAGTAGCATCTATAATGTATTATTGATGCTCAATCTTGTASTCTTGTTTAATAGTAAGTTCTTTGAATTTTTTCTTATTATATCAATCCATTTAAGTGAACAAAATGTCCATACAAAACCTATGATACACATTAATCTTTATAAAGAAAACTGTCAAAGCCAAAACCCATGACCAGTATTTACTACATTACATCTGTTAATTATTATCAGTTATTAGTTATTACTATCATTTTCAATATGATGTATTGAAAATATTATGCAATTATTGAATTATTAACTTCGAAATATAAAATACCTAATAATAAAAATAATATAAAATTATTCTGAATTAAATTAATCGACGAAGTTACGTTACAGGGAGTTCTTTATTAAGATGAAAAAAAACAAAGAAGGTTTTCAAATAATAACTATTGTAATATTCTCTGTCTAAAAATTCCAGAACAACTTTTTTTTTTGTATATAAATATTTGAAGCTGTAGGTTTTGTAATTTTGTATTGGACATATTTTCTTCATTTCTTGGGTGGAACTATGATTTACTTAACTTTTAAGGAACTGCTTAATATAACTTTTAGTATTTACTTATTATAGAAATCTCATTTATTACCTATTTTTGTGTCACAGCTATACTCTGACAGTGATTGTCAGTTTGTCACAGAAAAAATAATATGACATGTTTATTATAATATTATAAAATTCAAGTTGAACTAAAGCGCCATCTGTTGGAATATTTTTTGTTCTTAATTTATAATATTTTTAATAAAAAAAATAGAGAATGTAAGAGTATGGCATTCTTTAGAAGTAGGGCATTTCATTTGCGAGAGAATTCGTCTTCGTATTTTTATGTACATTACACCTGTCACCATTAAAAATAAATAATAATATCGGAGGAAAAATCACTCGTCAAATATTCGAATGAAATTATCTGATTTTGCACTTGTTTAGATTTTGGCTAATGATCTACAAAAATAGCTTAATTATTTTAGAATGATATTAAATTTGTAAATTTTTAAGAATTTTAATTTTACACTTTTTTAAAGTTATCGTTGCAATTATATATATGCACTACAAATTAAAAATTACAATTTACAATTATAATAACTTTTATTTTATTATCTTAAATACCACAGYAAACCAGAGTTATTCTATGAAATACCAAACCTTTCCTATGCAATAAAAATGAAAATATTTAATTTTTAAAATTAAAATAATTTATGTTTCATTTTTACTATAACCATAGTCCATTGAAGTATAGACTTCGTCGTGTTATCGCGTTATAAGTATACTGACATACTATTTGTGAAACGGATTATAATTTTTAAAACGTTTTTAACCATTTTATTCTAAAAGTAATCTATTGTTTTACTCGATGAAAGTGTCAAGTGTTTCTAAAAAATTAATCTTGAACGTATTATGCTAAGATTAGAATAGTGCAAGACCAGTACCTATTTACATATTTTAAAATTTTTTTAAATTTACGTAATATATAGGTTACATATGGTACATGATTACAAACTTTCTATGAAAAAATAAATATTTTGTTTTTACATTTAATTTCCTTTTATGTATTACTAGCTGAATTACCCGTCGTTGCCGGGTTTATTAATAGTTGTTATCTGATAAAATTAAATATTGTCTAGTTAAATTTAATTTAAATAAGATTGTTTATTCAAATATGTCATATTATACTAATTGTTTATTAAGCTGATTTTTATCGTTCATATAATATTTGTCTATAAACTACATTAGCTGTAATTCCTGAATAATTGTTGAGCTGTTATGTTTCAATTTGATAAAAAATTTATAAATTTAAAAAATACATTGTTATGTCTTATGTAATGTAATTATCTTTCCGTTATCTATAAAGTATACTCGATGTACTCCTATATATATATATATATTTAATTTCCTTTAAAAATTCATAGATATTAATACACTATACTAATCGCTTTTATAATTTATCATACATTTTCTAGTAATTAGCCATTTATTTTATTTGATATTTAATTCATTAGCCATTAAAAAATAATATACAGTTTAAACAGTGGAATACAAAATACATATTCTTTATGGTCGACAAATGTTATTTATGTGTTTAATAATACATATTTATGACAATGTGTTATACAATTTAATAGAGTTTCTGTTTAGTATTGAATTAATTAAAGTTATATTTTTTGAATATTATAGCAACTACCTATGTTAAAGGGATTGTTGGGACTAGACTTGAGTATACATCACAGAAGAAGTAGGTATATACAACCAAACCCAGTACCATGACCCTGGTGAGAGGACAAGACTTAGGAATTTTATTCCTCACCATTGTCACATAAATCCCTTTATGTGTGTCTTAAATACTACCACAATTAATTTTAATGTATTATTAGTTAAAACATTAATAATTAAATTATAACTAGTAATAATACGTTAAAATGAATTGTGGTTAGTAATAATTTATTACTTATCCCATTCCTCCTCCATTGAAAATTCTTCGGCGCCCCACTGGCCTCTACCCAGGCATATTATATAATGTGTATCAAGTATAAATAATAAATAGGCAAATTCTTTATTAATACTTTATTCTATACAGACTGAATAAACTAGTGGTCAAAATACGCAATGTAAGAGGTAGTATCCATTGATATTTTTTACCTATTAAATAAATTCATAAAATCATGAACCATTTTTATAACCACTAGATAACCTTTTTTTTTTCAGTTTGAATCGAAAATTATCGCAAATTTAACACAATATATGTTATACATTACAGTCATTACACTGACTTATTCAATGACGAGGTACACTAGAAACCAAATATACCTACAGCAGAGTAACTTTCTTGTTTTTTTTTTTTTTTTGTTATTTAAAAAGTTATTTTAATAATAAATATCAATATTCAGCTGTATAACTACTGAACCACTTCAGTATTATTATCTACCTACATAATTAGTTTCTTATAAATTAAAAATTGATATTGAATTTGTTTTTATTTTTATTGTTTTTACTTATGATATCGATATGATTAATCTTTTTTTTATAAATAAACTATAACTATCCAACATTCAACAATAATTTTAAGTAATTATTATCAATAATAATTTAACTTATTATATAAACTTCAACGATTTTCAGTATAGAAAATTATTTTGGCACCTTTTTCACTAAGAGCCTTGAGCATATTTTAATGCCTTGATCTTTTATAAGGTAGATATATCGTATATATTTAATTTTAGAATATTATTTTAGGCTGTTCATTGAGAATCTTTTATTTGATTTAATTTACTAACAATCATTTTGTGCAAACAACGGTTGAATTGGTTTTCTCAAGTATAGTAAGATTATGAAATGCTACTTAAATCTAAGGTAATCGAAAATTAATCCAACGACTTTAAATTTATAACTTCTTGCATTACATGATTTAAAGTTATGTTTACCTTTTCATCATGAGGATACGATGCCTGTTATAAGTCCACAAATCATTGATAACTTTAAGACTGTCATACGCAATCATACAGGATTGTTATTGTATTAGATCTAACACATAATTTTTATACAAATATAACATAGTATATTATATAATATAGTTAATAGTTATCTATTATATATAGTTCATCAATACATGTGTTAAATAATTTGACGGTTTGTATTGCAGTTCGTATTGGAATGAGAAAAAAATTACTTTTACGCGATATTATTACTTGATTAAAACACGGAATTTATGACAACGTCAAAATATTTGAAGAAACCTAAATCTAAATTTCAAATAGTATGTATAGGTACGTATAATTGTAAATAAGAGATAAACAATTAAAAAACTAGGATGTTATTCTTTGAGAAAAATCGGTCCAACAACCTTAAATTCGTCACGATTGGATTATTATTATCATACTTGTTCAGTTACAACGCTCCAAATGATAATAGCATGTTATTAATCTTACGCCATAAACGTGTGTACCTTGGCTTCCTATATTATAAATTATAATAGTTGCCGTCAGTTGAGCGAATGTGTGGTTTTGACGACTTACGGTGACGACGATGTCGAACCAGTGATCTATAGCACTAACGTAATGTATCATTATATATTATTATAATTTACTTACACACAGTCAAAATTGACGTAATTACGTGCTTYTTATTCGCGGTTATTACTTGTACATAATATATTACATCATAATATTATTATATTTTACGTTACGCGAACGTAATTATCATTGTAACTATAAATATACATATTATAATATTTTTATATTATGCGTGTATTTTGGTGTAAACTGAAAGGGTCCGTTGCCACACATATTTCGCGTCGACCTTGGCGTTTAGGTTCATCGGTTTGTTGCGCGAGCGAATTTTTTTTCGCGCTGCCGTCTAAAAAGAAAAATTAATAATAATAAATATCTATGCACACAACGAAAACGTCTGTTGACCCGGTGTCAGCGATAGCGCAAACATCTGCAGACGAACAATATTATTAGTGCGAGTTTATTATTAATTATTATTATTATCATAGTGTCCATAGTGATCAACAATCGGTGGCGGCAGCGCGCAGAATCCAAAATATAATACAATCGCGCGTTACTATTACGCCGTGCCGTCGCCACCGCCGTCGACCACCGCTACCGTAGGGGCCGGACCGTCGTCGTCGTCGCCGCCGCCGTCGTCGTCGTCGTCGTCGTCGGCCGACGCGATCGGACAACGCGCCGTTATGCGGTTACGTTAGTTGTCGAAAAAAATCATATCGTTGTAATATACTACGTACGAGCGACGTGCAGACCAGTACCGCTCGCCGCTCGGCGTACTTGACAGCGCATGTCTGCAAGCGTGCTTGATGCTTTTAAAAGTTATTCGCATAGTTTGAGAGCTCGCGCGCTTTTTTCATTTAAATATAATATTATTATAATCGACTGCAATTGCTTTATATTACTATCGTATACTTAATAACGCGTTATAATYTAGTATTATATCACACGTCGTCGTTTACGTTGTCACTATCATCATCTTTTCGACAAGACACCTGCCACCTTTAACACCATACGGACGACACACGACGACGGACGTTGTACAATTTCGTTAGCCGGACTTYCCGCAGTCCACAGTTTTCATGGCTGATGTGGCCGATCCCGAGTACTGGGTGTTTGGATATGGATCGTTGTGCTGGAATCCGGGTTTTGAATTCAAGGATTCAATGGTCGGTTACGTGAAGGGTTTCTCCAGGAAGTTCTGGCAGGGCAACATTGCGCACCGAGGGACAAAGGATAAGGTAACGCTTTTATTATTATTACGGTTTTTAAGTTTACTATATAAATATTATCTATTTTAATATTTATCCGWTAATACGTGTAGTTTGCTTCGCATAATAAATGCATACTTATATGGTTATATATATAAACATAACCACAAGCGTGTAATAAGCACACGCTTGTGCGCATCCGCCCAAGTGAGTACATGGCTGATGCAATGTTTTCGTTTTATTTCCCGTCCGTTTTGAGAACCACTGTCTATCGCCAAGTGGTTCCGCTACCGCCGAGTGGTTGCTGCCTTATGGGGGAAACAATTATCACGACCCCGTGCAAGCCACGTGACGGTTTTTAGTGTTAACGCCACGTTTGAACGATTTTTCTTCTTTTACTGATGCTTATTGGAAGGGCCTCAATGTAAATTACTAAAAATCGACTACACAAGTCAAACCACTTGAAACTGTCCCTTTATTATAATCATACTAAAATGTGCGTAGTACCTACATGATTTACGGTTTGCGTACCTATACGGAAAATTGATGACAACGTTCGATTTTTTTCTCGTTTGCACTGCGTGTTGACTGTCATGTTTCTATAAAATTATGTCGATGAACGACCTCCTATTTTTTTTTTCTTTTGCAGGAAATTGGAGTAGACAGTTATTCCCATGTCTAGTCTTAGTAATAATTGTTAATGTGTTTTGTTTAGTGGTAGGTATGGCTATAGAAAAACAAGGGCTTCTCAGATTAATAATTTCGCTATTTCGCAAAAACCAATACTGCTGAGATCATTTTTTTAACATTGTAATTATTAATATTATGTTAAGATGTTTTTTACTTTAGTTTTTTATATATTCACCAACAAGGAATGTATTCCCGCAAATCAAACTGGTTTTTCAGTAGGTAATTAATCCATAAGAAAATAAAAATTCTCCATAACATTCATCTAAACATGGACGAACAGTTTTCGTAGAAATCGATTTCATGTGCCTATTCATTAATTAATTCATATTACAATTGCATATTGTCMAGTTTGGTAGAAATTAAATTAAGCACTGTATTCGTTAACAGGATAATTTTATTTGGATTATTATATTTTCCCTACAATTATTAGTTTTTATTGAATTATCTATACGTACAGATGCATAGTGTCACCAAAATGCCTTTCACTTATACGTTATTTCTATTATAACTAATTGTGTCACAATCGATACAGAAATTTACTTTGTTAAAAATTAAGGTCACCCTTTTATGTAATGTTTTAGTGGCTTATAAAATTTCAAGAGCTGAGTTATACTTGTGAAAAAGTATGTTTTCTTAAGTTTTGTTTAGTTTATTTACTAAACTGGTTATTTAATATCTAGTTTAAATTTTTGTTCATTAGTAACTGAAGGCCCCGGGCCACGGAATTTTAGATAGACTAGTGTAGTTTTCTTTTAAAAATGACCTCGACGTACCTATAACCCGAATGAAATCACTGAAATGTCTCAGACTCACATAATGTTTTGTTTATAGTTATATTTTTAAAATATATATTAGTTATCCATCAAAGCATTCATATTGTATTCATATTTTTTTTTTAAATTGTTTTATGTTAGCACAATTTGTAATATAGAGTAATATTGTTTCGATATTTATTTGATTAAACTATTGAATTGTCGTACGTTGTGATTCGTGATACATAAAAATTATACTATTTACACAATTTAGATTGTTAATAAACAATAACAATTCTATAAAATTCACAAAACATTAAAACTATTTATAAATATTAAAATCAATTGTACCTACAGTTATTGTAGATAAATTAACTATRAAAAATTAAACAACTAACAATATTTATTGCTTATTGTATATATTTGTATCAATAAAAACTATTCTTACGTCATTCACCGTATGCATATTATGTGTTTTGAATTTTTGCTACTATATTCACTTGTCAATATACAAACATTTTGTAAAATTGTTGTTGCATTTTCTGTTTATTTGTTATTTAATTAAGTAATAATAACGGTACATAATACAATTTTRAGAAATTCAACATGCAAAATAAAATGTATACATTAAATTCAATATTCAATACTTAATACCTAGTTCTATACTAAATAAATATAGGAAAATCATTTTTATCAAATGCAGTTGATGAAATGAAAATAAATATACTTATATATAGGCTATAGCCCCTAGACTTTGTTCTTATCAATTAAATCACCAAAAATGATTTAGTTAGTGATCTTAACTTATTGAAATTCATTATTTTWAAAAAATGTAAAGGTCAGTATTATTATAGTTAAATGAATATTGAACTTATATAGTTCCTAACGATGGTTTTTAATTTCCCAAAATGAATTGTTATTTTATATGGTGCCTTATTATATTTTATTTATTAATAATATTATAAATGACTTATCATTTATCAACAATCATGTTTATATAATATAAAAAGCCTATAAGATATTTTAATAATCTTGTTTTCCTTAAAAATTGAATTAAATCTAATATAATATTATCAAAAGCTAATATTATATATAGCGGTATGATAACAGTTTTAAAACATTGATATAATTTCATAATAATATTAAAACATTAACTCGAAAAAA